CACCCCCATGTGGAAGAAAAGGGAAAATTAGTAAATTTTTCACAATTGTCATCACCTACTGAATTCAGAGTGAGGGGGGGACCCACAGGTTTGAAGCCTTTTTTATTTTTAAAGAAAAAGAAAAACCCCACCCAAAAAATAAACAAAAACAATAAGCTGTGTGTACCCCACCGCCTGGTTCCAAGCCCCTTTTGTTTGCTTTGGGGATACTTTTTTCTCAACGTTTTTACACACTGTTTTTTTGAATTTTTTAAAAAAACATTGTCATTTTTTCTTTTTAGCCGCAAAAAAAAGTGGGGGGTCTTTTTTAAAATCAAAGCAAAAAAAAAACTTTAAATTGTTTTTGAGGAACTTTTTTTTCTAGAAAGTTTATAGGGCATTGGGCCTTCCATTTTGGGGAGCTTTCAAGGATTTCTTGTTCCCTCGGTTCCTTCAGTGTTTTCAATGGGTTCAGAAAAGGTGTTTTCTTTTTACCCAGGAGCCCAAGTTATCCCTACAGAAGGGTTCTTCCTTTCCTCTCCAGAACCAAACCAAGGGGGGGGACCCGCTGATTTAAAACCACTTAAAAAAAACCCACCTTTGGAATAAAAAGAAGTTTTTTCACCTTTTTAAAAAAAAAAATCCACTGCTTTTCCTCCCAAACCCGCTGTTTGGGGGGGGACAGGGGACAAAAGGGGACGTCCGGGAAGGGGCCTGCGAAAGCCGAGCTTGCTTGCTTTTTTAACGTTAGCTCCCAAGCTTTGTTTTTTTCTTCCTTTGATAAACTTAAATAAAAAGAATCCAGGACGTCTGATGGGACGTAAAAATCCTTTTCAGAAAATCCGGGTTTTCAATAAAAAAATTCTAAGAAGGTTAAAAAAAAAGGGCACCAAAGATCTAAAAAAAAACCCCAGTGGGATGGTTTTTTTTTAAAAAAAATTGGTTTTGGCTTTTTCACCCCACTTTGGAAGTTCAAAAAAACCAAAGAGTTTCAATGTTAAATGAAACAGGCTTCTTTTGGGGTTTGGCAAAGCCCCACATTTTTTATTTTTATAAAAGCCTTTCAAATCGTTCCAATTCCTTTGTCATTTATCCTGGTTTTAAGACAAGGTTTAAAAAAACCAGCACATGAAAAGGTGTAAAAATAGATTTTAGGCCCTTTAAGCAGATCTCACCGCTACATCTTCAAGCCAGCGTCTGGTGATTCTCCAACTCCAGCTGATTACACTTGTAGAGTCCTCAACAGTTTAGAGACACTGGCATCGGTCATGTTGCCTGTAGATCTGGCTCTGATCAGAAACCCGTCTCTTTGTAGAAATCATGATTGATGATGCCCGAAGGAGCCTGTTTTACAGCGCGCAGGAGTCACACGTCCCCCCACAACAGAAAAAAACGATACAGGAATCTCCAGGATCACAGAGCCACCAAGGGACAGATCGTAATAGTATTCACAGGATGTGTTCCCGAGTTGATGCATCAGAAAGACTACAGCAGTTTCTATAAACTCACTGTCACAGTGATGTTGACAGCATCTCTTCAACTCTCCTTTTCTGCAGACTCACACCTACACTCCACTGTCTGAGTGTAAGGTCATCGATAGAGCAGAGGGATTCATTTGTTCCATTCCTGGATGTGAAACACTCTTGGTTGATGTTTTTAGATATGTTTCTCTTAACTCTCCACTGTCCCTGCTGCCCACAGCTCACAGCAACAGTCTCGTACTGGAAGAACTGGGATCTGTTGGGAAGGACTCTCAGAACAGCTGCAAGAAACAAAAAGATGGAGGCAGATTGGAGATTCTTTTTATTATAAATGAACCTCAACAGAAAACTTAAGCAAACAAGAACGCTGATCCTGCAAACACAGCTTCTTCGCAGTCAGTGGCCTCCGAGTTTCGCTACGGATGTTATTCTGAACAACAAGTGAGGAAACAATAAACCATCTCATTTGCATTCATCTGTGGGGTCGATGTCAAGCTGTGCAGAGTTTATTTGACATTAATGACAAATGAATGCACTCCTGACAGCATGAAGGCGAAATCAAAGGACCAGTAGTTGTTAGCATCTGCAGCTGCAGTGCATACATGATGATATAAAAAGCTCCACATCGCCCACAAGCAAACATATAAAAATAACTGCTGTATGAACCCACAATAAGATGATTTAGCATTCATACAGATAAAGCTGCAGTTTTATCTCTCTCTGCAGACCTTTGACACCAAAGATAAAAATTGAATGACAGCTTGTGTGCTTGTTTTCTAATTCATGTATGTCTACATACATAACAGTAACTATTTAGTATTTATGTGTCAGTTTTGAGGTTGTGTCTGTTGTTAATACAGTGAATTAACTTCCTGGGTTGCATTAGATCATTTCTGGTGATTATCATTTAGATCTGAAATAACATTGTTAAGTGCATGTATTAGAAGCATGTAATTCAGTGTAAAATAACTATTGCAAAGCCGAGTTTCAGAATAATGCTTGTGAATTGATAATTTTCTTCCTTGAATGCATGAAAAAAGCATAATTTAATCTGGCTGCAGAGGACAGTCAATAGAAAGTACTGAGGTTGTAAACTAACATTAGAAACATGGACACAGTTCACATTTCAGAGCTAAAAGAGACCCTGAGAACTCACCGAAGACAGTGCAGAGTGCCGTTATGTCCATGCTGCTCGGCCGCTGAC